GCACAAAATGATGTAAAAACAAACTATTATATGAATGAATGAATGAATACATAAACCCAGAACCAGGAGATAAGAAAGATACATGACCCCACTTTACATCACTGGAGAAGCTCTCAATACCAGCAAGACTCGTTAGGGTATAATTATTCACTTTTTGCTTCTCTCACCAACAGTCTTGATTCCTCCAGGTTGAACACCAGAGGCAACTATCTTTGTTTTTTGTACTGCCTCCTGCTGGCCACGGCGACTGGCTGAATATTTGAACTTGCACATTTAAACTTAAATATTAAATAAGTTTGAAAATAGGTTTATATATTTTCTCAACTAAAGGAGGAGGCCTGGAATCCTGCCTGCATTATTCCATTCCAACTTTTTGGGCCCCATCCAGTGTCACAGAGATTCTTCTGTACGGTGCTTGGCTTACTTTCACTGTATCCCAGCAAGCAACAGCTGATAGCCTGGCATCTCCTTAGGCATTTAACAATGAAAAGAGAAGATAAAGGTGGCATGGAGGTGGCCTTTCATCATCCTTGCTTGGGAAGGTGAGCTGATGGTGTCACCCTTAATATGAGGGAGCTACTTACATACAAATTGGCTTAGCAGGACAGGATTAGAGCTCCTGTTACTATTCTATACTTACAAATTGATTCAAGGAAGCTCCTGTTGTTTTCATTATAAGCTCATACTCCACAAAGTCAATCAAATGAAACACTGGATTAGTATATTAATAAAAAAGAAAGAAATGTAGTATAAAATGAACTAAGTTTTCATAATGCCAAGAAAGTTGAATTAGGCAATAATCATTCCACTTCAGCAAAACTACAGTAGATCACTTGAAATGAGAGTTTTAATATGGATTTCTGCTAGTAAGAAATAAACTTATGCAAAACGGGCTCTTCTCCATGAAAATGAGTAATCTACCAACAAGAAGCACATCTAGGTGTGTTCAATAAAGGTAGCTTCAATAACAACAACAATAACAAAGGGCCCTCCCTGGGTGAAAATGCAGCACTATGAAGCTGTCCCCAGCCCCTGAAACATGAGCTCGATCCCCGGCCAGGGAGGTGGCCCACATGGCCCAGCAGACCTCTCCTGTCCTGCCTTCTGCTCCCCTCAGCAGTGTACTTCATCAGTCTGCCTGTTCTGCTCCCCACTCTGTCTCTGGTGAACCTCTCACCCCCGCACCTCTGGCCTGTACCCCAGTTCTTGTGTGCATAGATAAATAAATCTTTTTAAAAAACACATGAGGCTTTTCCCCTGCCGCCGCCGAGTCGCGCGGAGGGGAGGCTCGGGTGCTCTCAAGACTCGGCCCACCTGTAACCCACCGCCATGGCCTAGGAAGGCATTGCTGCTGGAGGTGCAGTGGGCGTTAATGCTGCTTTGCAAGAGGTGCTGAGAAGCGTTCTCATTCATGACGGCCTAGCACGCGGAATCCGCAAAGCCGCCAAAGCCTCGGACAAGCGCCAAGTCCATGTTGCGTGCTTGCATCCAACTGTGATGAGCCCACGTATGTCCAGCTGGTGGAGGCCCTCTGTTCCGAACACCAAATCAACTTGATTAAGGTTGATGACAACAAAAAATGGCAAATGCCTGGGCCTCTGTAAAACTGACAGAAAGGGGAAGCCCCGTAAGTGGTTGGCTGCAGTTGTGTGGCCGATAGGACTATGGCAAAGAGTCTCAGGCCCAGGGGGTCGTCGAGGAGTACTTCAAATGCAAGAATGAGCAAATAAAATATTTGGCTAGGCAGAAAACAACAACAACATGAGATACGTGAGAAGCTTCTGGCTTCTCTGGACATTTCCAATGACCGAGTCCCCTGTTTCTAAATATATGACATCCCAGGGTACGGGGAGCATCCTGAGATATGAACACAAAAGACCTGTCGGTCTTTGAGATCTCGTGAAATTCACAAAGGTAAGAAAAGATAATGAGAAAACAGGCACAACTTTCCAAGAAAGGAGAAAAAAGAGATTCTGGAACGTACCAACAGATGAATCAACTTGAGGCTAATTCCTGGCAAAAATTCTTGGAGATTTCAATCTCCTTGGTCCTGGCATTGCAAGCTTGGATTATTTCATGATTTTAAGGCTTAAGTGAGTTAACATATATAAAGCATTTCATGTGACATCTGTCACGTGGCAACCTCACTTAAGAGGCAGAGACGGCCATTTTTGTATTGGTAGCACTTGAAAATGAGGATGGCCGCAACTAGGTACTGATAAGGGTCAAGTCCTTTCGGACCTAATCTCATTGTCTTGGCAAGCAGAGGTGCAGGGAAGAAGGCATTCCTCTATAGGTAGAGGGAGCCGGCCTCAGGTAGACAGAGCCAGCATCCTCACCTTGAAATGGACTTAGATGAATCTCTTCTCCCCATGACAGGATTTTAAGAGAGTTGGGTGACTCAATGACCATATACGCAGTACAGACCATGAACTTGGCCTCTCTGTGCCTTGGCTTCCTTTGCCTGTAGGAGCAGGTGACAGTAGCGTGTCCTTAGAATAGCCCCTGGCACTCCGTTAGTACTGGGTACATGTTGGTTCAGTAATCTTGGGGAGTGTCTAGTGGCACACTTACGCAGCACTTGGCTGTGACCTCCTCAACATTTCCAACAGAAGCTTGTTAAATTTTCATATGGTGTGCTGGCTGAATTCTCAGACGGTATAAATGTTAGATGATGAAGCCATAATCCACAAAAGCTAGAACAGAGAAGGTATAGGAAATGAAGACGGAAGATGAAATTTAGCTCTGGATAGAGTTACTTTTTTTTAATAATATAATAGTTTGTTTTAACATTATTTTGTGCCTTTTTCCACCTCAGTTGTAGTCCCCGTGGGCTCCCCATCACCAAGTCACCCATGTGCCATCACCACAGTCCAGTGCACTACCCCATCCCCCCATTTTTGCTGGATAGAGATTTTTAAGGAAAAAATATTTTTTGGTACACATACAGCCTGGCTTACTAGAACTTTCTGTAGATAAGAAAGGTTAATTCAGTGAACTTCATATTGAACAGTATGCCTAGCACCTGAAGTAAGCAAGGGAAGTGTGACCTTGATAAGATCCAGATAGACTCCAAGGGATGGGTGCCCTCCCCCACTATAGGTTTCTCCCAAGAAGTGGTCTTGAGTGTAAAGATGGACTTGAGCCCAGATGAGCAGGAAGGAAATGTGAGACAAGAAGGAACATACTGCCAAGTCACCTGTGTGGCAGGACAGGTGATGAGGAAGGATGATGAGGAAGATAGCCTCAAGACTGGTGAAGAAATAAAGTTTATCAGGGTACCAAACAACGGCTCACTCAGCTACATGCTCAAATAAATAAATAAATAAATGTAATTTATCTAATCTTTAGATAAGGATTTACCTCATCTTTTTCCTACTCCCAGGCAATTTATCAAATCCCCCCCCTCCCATAATAATCCGTGAGTCTGACAAAAGAAGATATTGTCACCCACAGTACAGATAAGAAATGCAGGCAAAGTGAATTGCCCTGGGCTGCACAGGACTGGAAATTCATCAATTTTTGCAGAGCAGAACATGAGTTTTTGGAAGGAAGCATACAGGAATCACATTATATCCTTCCAAAAAAAGAAAAGAAAAAAGGCTATTTACCTTCATCTCTGGGAGAAAGATTACTTGTATTTTCCTTGGCATTTGCCCAAGGATGTTGAGTAGCCTCTTTAGATCCCACAGGCATAATCTAATCCTTGCCAAATACTTGTGAAGCCTTATTTTGACCATTAGAAAGATGTTGGAAACTAGCTTTAAAAAAAAAAAAAAGGCAAATATTTGTTTGTTAAAATCTCCAAGGAAAGTAATTAATTAAGAAAGTTGTATTGTACAACCACAGGATTTCACATCATCTAGTACAAGGAATTCTCCAAGCAGGCATAAATCCAGATGGCCAGCTCCCTCTGGCCCCAGATATGAAGTCTATTCCCAGCTCAAACTCATTGTTTAGGGAGTAGATAAATAAAGATGGAGTGAAAGCATGTTTTTAAGGCAAAGAGGTTCGTGTAAACATAAATTATTGTTGTAATGATGAACGTTTCATCTAATTATTGAACAAATGCATGCTCATCACAAAAAACCTGGAAACAAAGTAAACCAAAATGAAAGAAAAAACATCGCTGGCATTCAGTGGGAGAACCCTTTGTACCTGTTTGCAAATTGGATATTTTTCTAAGACTCAGGAGAAAACCAGCCAAAGCTGCAACACTATGAGTCTACGTATTTAAAAGGCTTAAAAGGGCCTTTAATTAAGTAGGGAAAATGGTGATTTATCCAGAGAAGACGATCTTGTATTTCCTTGGCACCGGGCCAAAAGAGGTAAGACCACTCACTATTCAACATACTCGGTAGTAACAAAGAAAGAGTAATTCCTGATTGCATCTTACTGGCCAGAAAAATACACACCATGATTCTCGGAGTAAGTCAACAAATGCCAACAAATGCCACGATAGAATGGCTAGTCTCTGTCTGTCTATACCTGGGCAGAGCCACTTATACTGGAAGTCATGATTGTGAGTGCACTTTGATAGGGTCTTCCCCATCTTTCAGAAAAAGAAGCACACACATTCGAAGCCCTTGGGAGGACTGGGTCAGGAATACACTACATAGTAATCACCAAAGGTGGTACAGGCACACCTCGCTTTATTGCACGCTGCAGAGAATGCCTTTTCTCTAAGACCTTCCACCTGCAAAAAGATGATGAGTTGAAGGAGGCTCAGGTGGCTGGAGGCATTTTTGCCACAGGTATTTTAAATGGTGTGCACGCTGCTTTTTTAAACACAGCACTCTTGCACTCCTAATAGCCTACAGTGGAGTGTAGACATAGCTTCTGCATGCACTGAGAAACCATACATACTTTAGCCTGGGGCTAAAACTGCAGCATCTCGAGGGGGCCTGTACCCCGAAGTCCTTCCCAGCGGTGAGTGGTGCCCCGGGACTGCACCGAATGCCATTCGTCTTTCCCCGACCCTCAGGAAGACGCCTGATTACCTTTCTGTTCGCAGCCACCCCATCCTCGCAGTCCAGCACCGCGCAGTCTACGTTCAAGGTCGGGATCTTCTTTATCTTCTTCTCATCGTTCCCAGGTACGTAGAGCACCGCCCTCCGGGGAGTGTACTTGGGAGCGGGTGAGGAACTGTAGCCAAGCCTGGACACAGCAGCTGACCGAGGGGCCTTCCTGCAGAGGACAAGACTGGGGTGAGATGGAGTAGAATGTACTGTAGCTGTAATTTCAAAAAAACCTTATAATGCAGTTACAAGAGAAAACACAATGACCTTTTTCTTTTGTTTACGGATGGCAGAACAACTCTATGATTAAGAAAACAATAATAGCCAAGATAACGGAGAAACAAAATGTCCTCTGGCTCTTTACTGATATAACTTGAGAAAAGAAGGCAGGCACACCTATCTAGTTTGGGAAAAAAGCACTGCCAGGGTTAGTGTATTGTGCAGGTCGCATTAGAGAGAAAAAGGAAAGAAGTTTATATCCAAATGAGCTGAATAAGAAAATAACATGCAGAGATCATATGTATCTCCCTCCCTCTCTCTCTACCTACCTGTCTATCTATGAAGGTACATAATCTGTATAAGCATTAGGTTGCGGCTGTCCTCGCCAAGGGATCTTTTTAGGGAAGGAATAAGTGCTTCAAGTTCAACTCTCACAATAGACAAGGATGGCTGGCCACTTCTTCAGTGAGGACAGTGAATGAGGAAAGACAGTTACTAGCTTTGCAATTGTGGACAACTTAATTACTGGAAACTTCAGAGTCTTCGTTAGTAAGATGAGTGCTCATTTTACAGGTTGTTGGGGATTAAGTTCAGGGAATTACTGCACAGGAAGCACTCGCCGGCAGAGAAGCGTGATGGTGGTGGGCGTGGCAGAAACAGCAGCTGCTGTAGTTATTAATGGAGACTCTTGCTGTCAGTAGCCCCTGCCTGTTCTGAAACTGCTTTCTCCTTCCCTTCCCCCCATCCTGTTGGGGTGCAGAGAAAACCACCCCTTCCCTCTCTGGGTTTGATTGAGCCTGAACAAGTTATTAAAACATTTATCATCAGATAGCTGGGCAAATCTATCTATAAATTCTAAAGATGAACAGAATGGAACAGGCATATTTTTTCTGCATTTAGAGACCTAGTGATCAGGAAGGTGGGGGCAGAGGGGCCCTGGGGAGAACTAAACATGTCAAAGAGGGGGTGACCTCATCTTCACGCTGAGAATAAAGATGCGATTCCCCAGTAGAGGACATGGTCACTGACAAACGGACAACTGGATGAGATTCTCCAGAGCACATCCCTCTAGGGAGCAGCGGCGGCTTCTCTAATCAGAACTGGCGGTGCCAGAAGCTGAGGACATGGCTGTCTCTTCTTTAACTGGGCTTAGCTAAGGACAGGAGTTTCTAGTCTTCAGGGCGCTAACTGCTCTCCATACAGAGCAACTGGCTCTCTCTGGGTAAAGGTTCCAGGCCCCAGGCTAGGAGGATATGAGTAGCTCTAGAAGACAAAAGGCCCACGCTGGCCACACTGAGAAAGGTCTATTGTGTCGGAGACCAGCTCCAACTACTGAGGTGTCTGGAGGCAAGACAGGCAGGACCCTAAGGTGGGAAGGCATCTGCCAGCGGAGATTCCTAAAAAAGGGGGAAAGGGAGAAAAAAGGGGAAATGGGGCGAGGAAGACAAAGGAATTGGAGTTGGGTGCAAGTCTTCCTGCTCTGCCTTCAGCAGAGGTTTATTTTATACATTAGGAGCAAGCAGTGGGATGACATCAGCACACGAACTGGGCTGAGAGATTACAATCATCTTTTTTCCTAAGAACAGTTTAGGGTCGTATTGCCTTTAGCTGAGATATAACATTCTAAAATCAATTAAGGTTAAAAACAGGTACATACGTGCACAAAGTTCATGACTAATATTACTATAGTGGAGATCAACTAAGATAGAAGTCCCTGAAACCTTATCTACTGCTTAATGGGTTTTTGTTTTTCTACCTGAGTCATCCTGGGAGGCAGAAGAGGAAATTCCTTGCAAATCAAATCTCTGAAGAGGAGATATAGGTGAATTTCCTTATCTGAAGACTACACACATAGTAGAATCCTGAAAAACTAGCCAGAAGACTTTTGTGGATTCCTTTAAGGTGTAGCAGGTGGAAAACTTGACTAGTTTAAAAACAGGCAACCTGGATGAATTTCCACATCTAAAGGCCAAACAATAGGAAGCTGAATAGAGGGCTAGGTGAGATAATAGAATGATAAGATTTGGGTTTTCCTCCATCCATCTGGCAGTGAGAGAGACTTGCAAAAACAGCCCTTTTGCGTTTATTTATCAGTCAGTAGTCAAGTCACTTGACGTCAGGGGAATTTTTCAACCTGGTGCAGTGCTTGCTTGTCAGGGCAGGCAGGCCTTCTGCGGCTGAGGCCATCCAATTGTAAGCTGAAAGTTGCTCAGAATATTTTGATATTACGATTATACAAAAAAGGGAAGTCATAACATAAGTTAGCGTGGAAAGTCTGATTTTTCAGAGCAATTCCCCTCCATCTGATGACAGAGGTTGCATAGCTTGTGTCACTATTGACCCCCACTGACCCCACAGGACTCAAGTTAGGCTCCCTGCGAACAGGAGTGTTGGTGAGAAGCTTCTTTGACTCAGCACAGCCCTCGCCCATCACCCAGACCATAATTCACAGTGCTGTGAAAACTAGATTTGAGTTAGCCCAGACCTGATAGCAAAGGATGGAACTGACTCATTACCAGGACCAGCTAAATAATTTGGGGTGAAATCAACCAGGTAAAATCAAATCAAAACTAATTATGAATTTCAAGATGGTCACAGCACATGAAAGCAAGCACCAGGCCCTTCTAAGCCAGGTCAAGTGCGCCAGCAAGGGTGACGCTTGGTGACAGACAGGCTCCTTGTCGGGAGGACTCCAGGGAAAGCGCGCGTAGGGCCCAGCCAGCTGCTGACACCCTCTGATTCGCCTGCGAAGACATGAGAGAGCTGTGCCCTTCCTAGGTGACTGTCACATCTGGAAGTCCCCTACCTTAGTGCCAACCAAGTGTTTTGCAGGGTTGTGACAGGTGGCCGAATTAGGGTGCCTTGTGTTTAATGTATCTCAAAAACACCAAACCAAATCCGCGTCTCTCGGGTGGGCAACCCTATGTTGTGTGGCTCCGTCCTTCCTTCTGCAGTCATCCTTAATAGATAAAACTTAACCTGGGCCCTCTTTTTCCACATAAGCATTGTGCTAGGTGAAGTATGGGAGACAGAGATAGACGGTGATACGTGTGCCTTACAGACCTTTTAAAATTATGTTTATGGAATTAACATTGCATTGTAACATTATATAAGAAATCCAATTCTTTACTTCCCCATACAACTGACACCTTTTGCCTGGTGTATCACAATCCCCTTCCCGCCCTATGCTCCCCCCCATTCTGGTAACCACTAATTTGGTCTTCCCATTGTATAGTAAACATAATGTGGCTAGCTAATTGAAGAAGGCCTCAAATATCTGTCATGGTTTTACACTGACTGACAATATCTGGTCTGTCTTAAAAGAAAGGAGAGGAGGGGAGGTGAAGGGAGGTGAGGGGGTGGTCCTCCCTGGTAGGTCAAAGCACGGCACTAAGAAGCTATCAGCTGCCACTGCAGCACGAATTCCATCCCCACCAGGGAGCACCCACAGGGTGCAGCAGATTTTCCTGTCGCCCCGCTGGTCCCCTTAGCAGAGTATTTCAGTGGATATCCCCACTCTGCCTCTGGTAAATCCTCTCACCTCCTGCACCTCTGGCCTGTACCCCAGTTTTTGTATGCATAAATAAATAAATCTTTAAAAAAAAAGACATAGGTGTTCATAACATATTTTTTAAAAATCCAATCATAAGCAACTTTGCTGTGTTCATATCTTCCCCTGCTCAAAAACTGCCAGTGCCTCCCCATTACCAGAGTTAAGTTCCCTCTCAGCTGAAATCTTCCTCCTCTAAATTTACATCCCACCAGTACCCCACAGAAACTGCCCCCAAGGGAAATCAGGTCCTACTATCTCTAAGACACACACACTCACCATCCTGTTCCCACCATACTCTGCTTCTGCTGAGCTTTTTATGGAAGAGTCTCTTCTCTTAGTTTACTTAATCCCTATAGATCCTTCCAGCTCACTTCAAGGTCCATGTGACCAGCAAACCTTTCTTGACCATTCATCTCTAAACTCTCTCAGGTCCAAACGCTCTCATCTTTAAATGTTTGCAGCACTTATCATTTGTAAAGCAGGATCAGCAAAGGGTTGGTTCTGCTGTCCTGGCTAAACGTAGTCAAGGTGGAACAGCTTTCTGGAAAGTCAGCTGATGGTGCAGATCATGATGGCTTAAAAGTTTCTATCTAACCCGGTAACGTCAAAGAATTTTACCTAATTCCTTTTGGGAATTGCTAAATCCCCCAATTCATAGGTTGAAATCTAAACTCAATGAGATAGGATTTTCAGATAGGGCTTTTGGATGGTGCAATACTGTGATTTATAGGAAATATATATATCTTTGGTCATTTTGATGATCAAAATGTAGTTCTCATATATATATATGGTCTAATCCACAGTTCCTGGCTCACAACTCCCACAGTCTCAGAACTTCCTTATTTTGTGAATGATAAAGGTTTTTTTTAATGTTAATGAAGGTGACTATTGGCAAACTCTAGGGGTAGGAGTGGTTGCCAGGGAAACCACTGTAAAACTTCTAGTCCCACCCCAGACCTCCAGGGAGGAGAGAGGAGTGGAAGGCTGGGTTCAGTTCACAAAGGCCAGGGGGTTGACCAGTTAACAAGTCATGAAGCCCCATAAAATCCAAGAGGAGAGGGTTTCCATGGGCTTATGGTAGGAGATTTGGGGAGACTGGCACACCACAAGGGGCCATGGAATTGCCTCTTCTCCCCACAACTATCCCTGTGCACCTTTCTCCTGACTGTTGACCCATATGCTTTAGTATCTCTGTAGCCAACTGGTGACCTAGGGAGGTTTCCTGAGTTCTGGGAGTTATTCTAGCAAACTACTTGAACTTGTGCATGGCTCCTGGGATCTTCTGATTTACAGCCAATTGGTCAAAAGCACAGATAACAATCTGGGGGTGATGAGCATCCAAAGTGTTGAGGAGATTGTGGAAGCCTCTAACCAACAGCCAACAAGTCAGAAACATG